CGGGAGGGGGAGGGGGGGAGGTGGAATTGAAGGGGGTCCTTCCTGTTTTTAGTATACTGCTATGTACATTGTAACGTATGTGTATGGCACTATGCCGGCATCTTATGTGGTATTAGGGCCATTCACACCAGCAGCACGCTATAACGCATGGCCGCTGGTCTGCGATGTGCATGGATGCGTCTTTTCGCATACCATTTGCTCATGCCCTGAAGAAGTGGGGGGGAGGCCTTTCCCCCCAGAAACGTGCTGGATGTATCTGATGCTGTTGGTAAATATTTTAGGCGACTCACCAAGTGAAATGAACATTTGGACTCCTGACCACACACCCAGAGAATTGATATGTGATGAGCGGTTTGCGTATCTTCATCAGAGAGGTGGACCAGAACCAGGACCAGGTCCACGCACTGTACTTCCAAGACGGGTTGACCTTCTTAAAGGAGAACACACATTTTATATACATCAGTGCAGCGCTATCGCACATCTATCAGACTTTCGGCAGTGCTTAGGGGAAGAATGTTGTAGTGAATGTCGATTGTAACACGTTACTGTCTGTGTCCCCCTTACAGCGGAGGTGTACATCGGCATAGGCAAACCATCGGAGGCCACCGCCTGCATCCAGGAAGCCGCTAACCTGTTCCCCATGTCACACAATGTGCTCTATATGAGAGGTCAGGTGTCCGAGCTGCGGGGAAACATCGACGATGCCAAGAGATGGTATGAAGAGGCCCTGTCTATCAGCCCCACACATGTGAAGAGCATGCAGAGACTGGTGAGTGCGCAGACCTTCCTCTGGTCACACATGTTACATAGTTACATAGTATTTGAGGTTGAATAAAGACATTAGTCCATCAAGTCCAACCTATTAGGATCTCATTCTAGGAGTACCCGTACCCCTGTATGTTACCTGTACCCCTGTATATTACCCGTACCCCTGTATGTTACCCGTACCCCTGTATGTTACCTGTACCCCTGTATATTACCTGTACCCCTGTATATTACCTGTACCCCTGTATATTACCCGTACCCCTGTATATTACCCGTACCCCTGTATATTACCCGTACCCCTGTATACTATCTGCTCCCAATCCGGAGATGTGGAGTCTCCATCTCCGGATTGGGATTATCTCATCGTTTGGAAGATATTTCCGGCTTCCCTCTGACCGTTGTGGTCGGCAGGGATTGGCTGGTGCCATTTATCAAGTCATTGTGAATCTTTTATCGCAGGTCATTACTGATGTGACTTTCACACTTGCTGTAGGTTTGCTTTCTGGACCTGGATAAGCGGGATCCCCCTTTATGTGGCCGGACTAATTGGCCCGTCAATCAGTATTGTCCCCCTTCAGGAAAATGTAAAACATAATGCAAGCATGCCAATCAGGTACATCAATGGCCAGCACCACTAGATACACATCTCAGTGTTAGGTACCAATGGTTTGTGGCAGACACTCGTACAGACCCCACCTTCAGGGGGTTAGTAGGTAAAAAGGCAGACGGAGGCCTCCCGTCACCCGTTATGTAAAGTAGGCATCCGCAACCCCCGCGCACGCGCTTGTGCCTGCTGCCGTTGGCTGTAATTGACAGCTCAGTAGGCTGTCAAGTGCAAAGCCTGGAACATCCACCTCATATGTACAGCCGTTGGGGCTGATCTGGGGTCTGCAGTACATATATTGGGGCCGGTCTGAGGTCTGACATACATGCACTGGGGCCGATCTGAGGTCTGACATACATGCACTGGGCCCGATCTGAGGTCTGACATACATGCACTGGGCCCGATCTGAGGTCTGACATACATGCACTGGGCCCGATCTGAGGTCTGACATACATGCACTGGGCCCGATCTGAGGTCTGACATACATGCACTGGGCCCGATCTGAGGTCTGACATACATGCACTGGGCCCGATCTGAGGTCTGACATACATGCACTGGGCCCGATCTGAGGTCTGACATACATGCACTGGGCCCGATCTGAGGTCTGACATACATGCACTGGGCCCGATCTGAGGTCTGACATACATGCACTGGGCCCGATCTGAGGTCTGACATACATGCACTGGGCCCGATCTGAGGTCTGACATACATGCACTGGGCCCGATCTGAGGTCTGACATACATGCACTGGGCCCGATCTGAGGTCTGACATACATGCACTGGGCCCGATCTGAGGTCTGACATACATGCACTGGGCCCGATCTGAGGTCTGACATACATGCACTGGGCCCGATCTGAGGTCTGACATACATGCACTGGGCCCGATCTGAGGTCTGACATACATGCACTGGGCCCGATCTGAGGTCTGACATACATGCACTGGGCCCGATCTGAGGTCTGACATACATGCACTGGGCCCGATCTGAGGTCTGACATACATGCACTGGGCCCGATCTGAGGTCTGACATACATGCACTGGGCCCGATCTGAGGTCTGACATACATGCACTGGGCCCGATCTGAGGTCTGACATACATGCACTGGGCCCGATCTGAGGTCTGACATACATGCACTGGGCCCGATCTGAGGTCTGACATACATGCACTGGGCCCGATCTGAGGTCTGACATACATGCACTGGGCCCGATCTGAGGTCTGACATACATGCACTGGGCCCGATCTGAGGTCTGACATACATGCACTGGGCCCGATCTGAGGTCTGACATACATGCACTGGGCCCGATCTGAGGTCTGACATACATGCACTGGGCCCGATCTGAGGTCTGACATACATGCACTGGGCCCGATCTGAGGTCTGACATACATGCACTGGGCCCGATCTGAGGTCTGACATACATGCACTGGGCCCGATCTGAGGTCTGATGTGCATGCTTTGGGGCCAAGCTGCGGTCTGAAGTGCATGTACCAACGCTGATCTGAGGTCTGACCTACATTCATTGGGGCTGATTTGAGGTCTGCAGTACATATATTGGGGCTGGTCTGATGTGCATACATTGGAGCCTAGCTGCGATCTGAAGTGCATGCACTGGGGCTGAGGTCTGACACGTTTGTGTGATCAGGTTTTGCCCTCCTAGTTGTGCTGTTTTTGGGATATTTATCTCATGAAATATAATGAATGATTTCAGCCGTACAACTATTCATGCAAAAAGTGAAAACAAACTACAACGCGCCATTGTTCTCCGTCACGCCGGTTGTCTGATGCTTGTGAACGCGGCGCTTAATGTGGAGAAGGTGGCTGACCCCTGATGTAAACCCCTCCGGTCCTGTCATTGTAGCATTGTGGCTCCTTTGTGGGGGCCCAGCATGGATCAGCGATGAGGGCCGGGGTCTATGGAGCGCACTGACACAAAGCCTCATAGCTGCCGGCTACATCACTCTCCAGCAACTGATCCAACCGGACGGGGGGGCTTCTGGCTGCACCATTGTCCTGTGGGGGAGGGGAGGGGGGGTCACCTTGTCATACAGATCATCAATAGCCCCGGGGGTGGGGAGTCAGGATTGAGGTTTCTTTAATTTGCCTGTATGATGGTTATTATTTCCTGATCTCAGCGTTTGTTACAATGTATCCGAACCCGAGAACAGAAACGCCTTGTATTGCAGGTAATGCGTGACCCCTTGTATGTTCTACTTGGACAGGACCTCAGGGGGGCCGGAGGGGGAGCGCGGCACCTCTAGTAAAAAATATTGGGCAAAGTTCAGGTTTTGCATTTATTAAACCCCCAAAATGTCAGCTTAGCAGTCCTGAGAGGTGGCGGCTGCATTAGTTTTCCTTTATTCTTATCCGGTGATCCCGCCAAGAAGCAGCGTCTGCACCCCAGGACATGACTACAGAACACTGCCCCCCTCTCCTTATCTCCATAGCCTCGGAGGAGGTGTTCTGTTGTCCACAGAGAGAGCTGGGAACAATGTAACCGATAACAGTCAGCACAGGAAGTTATCAGCTCACTGGATTTCTGGCAGGATCAGCAGATGTAGCAAAACTTTAACAGACCAAATGAAACAAATTCGAGAACTTAATTTTTAGGGTTTACATCCACTGTAATAAAAGTATCATGTAGTGGCGTCACAAGGGGGGTGCGGCCGCCATTGCAGGGGTGACACCAAAATGACTGTCGCCCCCTATGAAAAGACGGGCACTCTGTCACGGACCGAACGCCCGACAGTGTCAGGAGAGAGGAGGGGACTCGGCGGTATACCTTATCCCGCCGGGTGACGCCCCCTCCTCTCTCTGCTGGCGTTGGTGGAGACCCGGAGTCATGTCTGGCGGTGTTGGGGGAGGGGGGACATTGGTGGTGTCACCGCTGTGGTGTAAATAGATTATTTCTGAAGAATGAACTCAATAAGCATTTCGGTGAAGGTCGGAGGTCGGAGGATGATCCGTTCTTCTCCTTTCATCTTATTATCGGCATCAATTCTAATATTCTGTGATGTCTTTGTGGATAGACTCTGTCCCCCGAGGCCTGGAGGGTGCGGACAGTGACCCCGCCAACAATCCTCTCCCCTCAGATTAGGGCAGTAATAGATCTTTCTGCATCGGACGGGTTCTTGTTCTATAAATAAACAAAGTCCATAAATCCTGTAGAATCAACAAGACCAGAACTGGAGCCTTTTACCTGCAACAAAGTGCCATATGGTGCACCGGTGACATCATTGATGTGCCCCATGTGTGGCACCGGTGACATCATTGATGTGCCCCATGTGTGGCACCGGTGACATCATTGATGTGCCCCATGTGTGGCACCGGTGACATCATTGATGTGCCCCATGTGTGGCACCGGTGACATAAGGTCGGAGGATGATCCGTTCTTCTCCTTTCATCTTATTATCGGCATCAATTCTAATATTCTGTGATGTCTTTGTGGATAGACTCTGTCCCCCGAGGCCTGGAGGGTGCGGACAGTGACCCCGCCAACAATCCTCTCCCCTCAGATTAGGGCAGTAATAGATCTTTCTGCATCGGACGGGTTCTTGTTCTATAAATAAACAAAGTCCATAAATCCTGTAGAATCAACAAGACCAGAACTGGAGCCTTTTACCTGCAACAAAGTGCCATATGGTGCACCGGTGACATCATTGATGTGCCCCATGTGTGGCACCGGTGACATCATTGATGTGCCCCATGTGTGGCACCGGTGACATCATTGATGTGCCCCATGTGTGGCACCGGTGACATCATTGATGTGCCCCATGTGTGGCACCGGTGACATCATTGATGTGCCCCATGTGTGGCACCGGTGACATCATTGATGTGCCCCATGTGTTGCACACAGACACGATGTGATTACATTGTGCCGAGTTATAGAACGGTCCTAGTACACCACATGGCCCCATAGTATGTGGACTCCCCTCCGAATGATGGGGTTCAGGTGTCCCCAGTGAAGGTTCTATTCATCCTCCACCATACAAAGACATTGTAGACAATGGAGCTCTTCCAGCCTTGTGGTCACAGTTTGGTGAAGACCCTTTTCTGTTCCACCATGACTGTCCCCTGTGTACAAAGCCAGCTCCATAAAGACACGGTGTGACCAGTTTGGTGGAGGAACTTGAGTGGTCTCCGAAGAGCCCTGACCCCTCATCCCTACTGAGCACCTTTGTGAATTGGAACGTTGATTGTGAGTCAGGTCATCTCGTCCAAGATCAGTACCTGACCTCACCAATGGGACAACCTTCCAAGATCATGTGGAAAGTCTTCCCAGAAGAGTGGAGGATGGTATAGACACGAAAGGTAGGTGGGGGGGGGGGGGGGGAGAGTTCATATTGATGGTTTTGGAATGGAATGTCCAACAAGCTCATATAGGTGGGGTGATCAGGTGTCCAGAAAGGTTCATCCACATCTCCTGTATTGTGTAAGTCATTGCTCTCAGGAGATCCTCCGCATAACACACGTGTATTGTTTCTCTTTTGCAGAGTCTCATCCTCCACCACTTGGGCCGGTACAGCCTGGCAGAGAAGATCCTGAGAGACGCCGTCCAGGTGAACTCCACGGCCCATGAAGTGTGGAACAGCCTGGGGGAGGTGCTGCAGGCTCAGGGGAATGACGATTCCGCTACGGAATGCTTCCTGACCGCCCTGGAACTGGAGGCCAGCAGCCCCATCGTCCCCTTCACCATCATCCCCCGCGTCCTGTGAGCAGAGATCGAACCCTGCGTCCTGTGAGCAGAGATCGAACCCTGCGTCCTGTGAGCAGAGCGACACCGCCAATCAAACCTCATGCTGATATTTCACCAAGCACTCTTCTTTATATTTTCTGTCTGAACCGGGTGAGAGAAGACTGGCCAGCGATCATTGGTTCCTGCTGAGCATACGCAGACCAGGTTGAGTCCTTCATTGATATCAGAGGAAGGCTCCGCTCAGCATTGTATCATTCTGTGTGTTCAATCATCAATGAAGATACAAACTCCCCCTTTATGGGGCCTCCATCCCTATAACCGGCACCAACCCGAGTTCCTGGCTGCCTGGTGCATTGCACAACATCCCCAGTCCAGAATCTTCCTGTTTTCTGCATTACCCAGCCCCCCTTCCCCCGACACTTCTACAGGAGTGAAGGAAACTATAAATCCTCAGGGGAACCTGCCCCCTGCACCGACTGGCTGTTTAACCTTAGCAGCGTATCTGCATCTCGGGTGGGTGATGGGCCTGATTGGCTTCCCCATTGTCGGCGTCCTTCAGTGGTCTGACCCGAAATCTAGGGCGGCACAGACATGTAGAGGTCGGTTTTCCTTTCTCAGCTATGGGG